TGGACCTGGGACACGGGGGGTGTGGGAGGGGCCGGCCCACAGCTGCCCTTCTGTCTCCACTCTGCCCAGCCCCCTGCATGACCCTGGGCAAGCCCTGGGCCTCCTGGGCTTCCCTGTCTTACTAGTGGTCAGTCTGTCTTCACAGAGGATAGTTATCACCCATTTGCTGGAAACGGGCTCAGAGAGGTGCCACGTCTTGCTCCAGGTCACACAGAAATCAGCCCCAGACCTGGGAGGCCCCTGCCTGCGCCCCGTAGTGCTCTGCGGGGGGTGGTACTAGAGTGGAAACAGGCCCTGAGGTCCCCACTGGACCGGAGGATCGGAGCGGCCTCTGTCCCCTGAGAGGCGGGACTAAGAGGCTCTGAGAGGCCCCGGTCTTGGGCCCAGCTCCAAACGCATGCAGGCTGCCACCTTGCTCTGGGCCTGTTTCCCTACCTGTAAAATGAGGTTGTTTTTTTTCAAACTTCAAAGCTTTTTTTTCTTTTGGCCGTCAAACTTTCGTTCAAATGACATTCTCCAAGAAAGGCTTCTAGATACAAGTGACCAGAGGTGGTATGGGGGGAGCTAGGGGTCTGGGGGGCCGAGAATTCAGGGCCAGGCCATCGGTGAGCCAGTCCCCAGGTCCCTCTCTACTTCAGGGCTCTCGTTGTTCATTCCGGGGACCTCTGCGCCCCTCCGGGTGCCTGCCCCCTGCCCCACCACAGGCCTGATGGAGGCCCTCTGCCTCCAGCTCTCACGGCGTGGTCGTGGAGCATTTCATGAACCGGAGCATCACGACGCTGGCCAAGGACGCACCACTGGAGGAGGTGGTCAAGGTCATGACCTCCACAGATGCGGCTGAGTACCCCCTGGTGGAAACCACAGGTAGGGGCTCAGCAGGAAGGGGAGGGTGAGTGGAGAGGGGCATTCCCTCCACCTGCCTCCTGGGGGGGTCTGGCCCAGGATGGGCTAAGCAGGGCCTCGGACCAGCCTGACTCTGACCCCAGGCTCTGTAACTGTGTGCCTTTGGGGAAGTCGAGTCACCTCTCTGAGCCTGTTTCCTCCTCACTGTGAAGATGGAGACTGCTACCACCCTGCCTCGGGGTGGCTTCTGCGCGTGCATGAGAGATGAGAGGATGCTGAGCTCTCCATGGACAGACCACAGGATTCTAGAAACCAGGCCGGGTGTGCTTGGGGGTGGGGGCACCACCAGGGGCTTCCAGAAGGGCTCTTTCACTTGGTCTCCCCTTCAAACATTCCCCAGGGAGTCCCCCCCACAATCCCTGAGGCCATGAGAAAAGCATCTTTTTAAAGGAAAATGAATGGCAGCCCCTGTTTAAAGACACACAAGCTGAATTTTGGGGAAGCATCCAGGTAGAGCGCTGTTCTCCCAGGGACAATATAGTCTGAGTGGAAAAGATAAGCTGGGGGTGTACGGCCATGTCCATGAAGGGACACTGTCAACCTTAATGTCCCCCCCTTTTTTTAATGTGTTTTTATTGATATTTAGAGAGAGAGGGAGGGAGAGGGAGAAGGGAGAGAGAAGCATCGATCGGCTGCCTCCTGCATGCCCCTTGCTGGGGATCGAACCCGCAACCCGGGCACGTGCCCCGACCGGAATCAAACCGGCAACCTCTTGGTGCACGAGACAAAGCTCAACCACTGAGCCACACCGGCCAGGCTTGAGGTCCCCTTTGTGCACATGAGACACGGTGTGCACTTGGCAAGCATGGCACAGCTGGATTTTGGCCCCCAATTGTCCTTTGGGCAGATACCTTGTGCTGTGAGCAACCTGCACAACCATACGGGTCCTAGCCACCCCCAAACCACCCCAAGAGGCACAAAGCCGCCATGAGCAGCAGAACCGGGGGTCAACCACTCTACGAAGTGCATTTTCCTCATGGAAAAGAGGGGTCAATACAGTGTGGAGCTGTCAGAGGTCCTCACCCCAAATGCCACGCTTCCCTCCCCACCCGGATCGGGGCGCCCTTAACACTGCCCCGCAGAACACAACCAGCGTCCGGCCTGCACGTTTGCGGATGGACGGCCCTCTGACAGGCTGCACCTCCAAGACGGACCTGGCCTCCAGGACAAAGTCCACCCTCCCCATGGACTCTAGGGCCACAGGGAGCAAGGAGCTCCCGCCCCACAGGCCTGGGCTGCGGGACCCGGCTGCTCACTTGAGAAATCGCTTTAGTTGGTTCCTAAAGGGGAGGCACGTTTAAGTCTATTTGTAAGTTTCTCTTTTACTGGATAAGCAAAAATACCAGGCTGTTGCCTCAAAACTCCACTGATAGCCTGGAGTGAGACTTGCGAAGCCCTGGCACACAGTAGGACCGCGGAGAGCAGTAGGCTCCCGAGTTCATGCCTTCACTGGGCTGAGCCAGATGTGACTCTTCCTGAGGGGGGTGAGGGACAAGCCCAGCCCTGGGGCACAGACCTGCTCGTGCCTCTAGGTCTGCCACACGCGGAAACTCAGGGTGAGCAGACTCCTTCCCGACCCCCTGGCAGCCTTTGCCTCCTTTGGCTACCAGAGCTCCGTGTCATAAGCTGAGTGACCTTGGGCAGGACAATTAACCTCTCTGTGCTGCTGAGCCTCAGTTTCCACATCTATAACATGGGTGATAATAGTTCCTGACCCACAGGCTGCTGTAGGTTCCTGAGAGACCTGAGAACACCTAGGCTGGTTATTGGCACACAGTAGGTGCCCAGGAAATGCAAATTCCTTCTGCATAATGCAGCTCTCTCCCTCTCCTTCCCCACTTGGCAGAGTCTCAGATCCTGGTGGGCACCATGCGAAGGGCCCACCTGCTGCAGGCCCTCCAGGCTGAGCCACCCTCCTGGGCTTCAGGACACCAAGTGGTACTCATGTGGGGTATTGGGGGGACTGGGGAGTCAGCAGGGTGTAGGCGGAGGGGCAGCTGATTGGTGGGAGAGGAGGATTGAGGGGGCAGCCTGGGGAAGGGGGAGGCTGGCCCAGGCCTCATAACCCTTGCTCTGTCCCAGCGGTATCTCCAGGACATCTTGGCTGGGGGGTGCCCCATGGAGCCAGTGACCCTGCAGCTGTCTCCGGAGACCTCCCTGCACCAGGTACAGGGGAGAATTCGGGCTTGGGGCAGACAAGGGCCCTGGGGTAGGGGGGAAGGGCTGGCTGGAGAGGGAAACCAGCTGCAGCTTCTGGGCCTGCTTCCTAGCCTGCAGACCAGGCAGAACAGCGCCTGCCCTCCCCAAACCCCACTCCCAGAGCTGCTGGGGTGACGCAGAGGGGAAGTGAGAGGGCTCGCAAAACCGAAGCCTCTGGGTAGAGAGGCAGTGGGTAAAATTAGGCCTTTGCATCAAGGCACACGTGCGTTTCCATTTCAGATCCACCACGATCTCTGGGTGATCTTGGGAAAATTACATTTAATCACTTTGAATGCTGACACCCTGCCCCCTCCCCCACACAAGCACAGAGCCTGGAACCTGGGGCCAGGGACCGGAAGAAGCTGTTTGGGGACTTGGGGGTGGTCCCAACCCTTCTGTGACACCTGATTCAGGAGGACGGGTGGCCCCACTGGTCCCTTGTGTGGACTCTGGCGGCCCCCTGTGGTCACACTGGCCATTGCAGGCCCAGGTGTCCCCTGTCCCCCAGCAACCCCTTCCCCCTGGGCCACACGGGGCGTGGGTTCCGCTCCTCCACCTCTGCCCAAAGCCTTCAGGGATGGATGGCAACCAGAGGCGTGGTGTGGGTGGCACCTGCCCTCCAGCATCTCCTAACAACCCCCCTCCAGGCACACAACCTCTTCGAGCTGCTGAACCTTCAGTCCCTCTTCGTGACGTCTCGGGGCAGAGCTGTGGGCACCGTGTCTTGGGTGGAGGTACCAGGGTCCCGAGGGTGGGGCAAAGTGGAGGAGCCACGTTCAAGCAGGCTGGGGGTGTGTGTGTGTGGAGGGCCCCAATGTCCTCCCATCCAAATCTGGAGGGGCCTCATGAGATTCTGATGAACCCCCCCTTCTTGGCCCAAAGCGGCCATGGGGCCTGGCTACCCCACCTTATCTTGTGACCAGCGGCCAGCCCTGTCAGTCTCTGGGCCTCGATGATCCCATCGGTGCAACGGGGAGGCACTGGCTCTAACACTCACCCCAGAGTCAACCCTTAAGGGAGTCAAACAACACTGGAACCCCCACTCTCAACCTTCTCTACCTCCTTCCTCCAAAAAAACCTTCTTTCTCTGTTTTAGTTAAAGAAAGCAATTTCCAACCTGACAAACCCACCGGCCCCAAAGTGAGCCAGCCCAGCAAGATGCCCTGGTGAAGGAGACGGGCAGGCACCCTGCTCCCTGCCCCCATCACCACGCCCCCCCGCCCAGCGCAGCTCCTCCGTGAGGCAGGCAGCTCTAACCAGCACCTAAGAGGGCTCCATAGTCACCATGTCCCGTCTTGGGTGGGACAAGTGCCACACGCCTGGAAGGACAAATCCCACCGCAGACTGAGCTCAGAATGCGAGACAGCGGAAAACCAGGACACGTGTCCATCGCATTCACCGATGCGGAGATCGGCGCACGCTGTCACCAAGCGCCGGCGCAGACCCCCTGGGGGTGGGCTCCCAACCAGAGGCTCCTGAGGAAAATAAAGCCATTTCCCAGAGCCTAGTTCATCCCTCATCTCAGCGCCAAGGGCGCTGGCTTGGCGCCTCAGCTTCTTACCTGTGCTGGCTGCGGGCGGCTGCTAGTGGCCACGTGGGAGCTGCAGGCCTGGGTTCCTGTCTCCCACTCCTCACGCCCCCCTTCCCGGCAGGGAGGTATGGAGGGGAGCGGGTCCCCGCTGGGTCTTATGATGATCATCCTCAGGTATAAGCAGGGCCCTGTGGCCCAGCTACCTTCGCCCCAGCCCCGGCCTCCTCAGCTGAGCCCCGGCTGGGGCACCAGGTGCGGCTCCTCGGGCGTCCGCAGAGCCCCAGGCATCTCCTATGAGGACTCTCCCAGCTGGTGGCAGCTCGCTGGCCAGCTGTGCGTGTGCTGAGGGGTAGGGCCCTCCCCTAAGTCCCTCTAGACCCTCTGCGAGGGAGCCCCAAGGCCACAGTTTCCCCAGCAGAGACCAGGCCAAGTTCATCCAGTGAATCCACCACTTTAATGTCCTCAGAGAACTTCCAGGGAGCTGGAGGGAGGGTGCAAGGGCAGGGAGCAGGGGAACCAGGGTTCAGAGTGAGGGACAGACAGACGGTCCTGGAGACAGGTGTCCTCGTGACCACAGCTTAGGAGCAGATGCTGAGCTACCAGGAGAGGCTACCCCACCTCCGATGGGGGCCGAAGCACAGAGGGAGACGGGGAGAGGCTGAGCTCCAAGAGCAGGCGGGGTCCCCGGCCCCCACTCCAGGCGGGTCTCCCAGGCCCTTTCATGTCGTCTGCCTGGGGCCCGGCTGCTGGCTCCTCTGGGCGGCCTGCCCGGGTGTCTGGTGAGTCCTCCAGCTCACCGGGGGCAGGAACCCTGCGGGGAGAGGTGCCCACATGAGCCAAGAAGGGAGAGGGGGGTTGGGGGCTGGTCCACAGAGGCACAAAGCCGTCCACGGGAGTGCTGGCCGCCCATCCCCGCCTCCCACCCCGTGCCTGCCCCGAGGGGTCCAGAGGCCCAGCCGGCGGTCCTGATGGGCCTGAGCTGCCCACCGGGCGAGGTCGGGTGCGAGCGGGCCTCAGTTATAGAAAACCTCGTCTTCCTGGGAGATGGAGCCGCTGTCCACCGAGGGGAGGGAGCCCTGCAGGCAGGCCCCGGCCTCAGGCCCCGGGCCCCCGGGCAGCCGCTTCCGCTGCTGCAGTTCGGGGCTGGGGGGCTGGGGGGCAGCAGCCATGATGGGGGGCTCCTCGGGTGAGGGCCAGCCGTCAGGGGACAGGCCGGGGGAGGAGAGGGCCAGGAGACTGTCATCTTGCGAGGGGCCGCTCAGGAGGCTGTCCTGAAGGTAGATGCTGTCCAGGTCTGGAAAACCAGAGGGAGGGGGTAAGGGATGGAGTCCGGGACCCCCTCCTCACCCTCTCCAGGTTTGTGAGTGTGGGCAAGGGGCAGAAGACCAGCCTGCAAATCTTGTGTTGTCACTGCCAAGCTGCGTGACCTCAGGAGAGTCACCGCACCTCTCTGAGCCCCCGTTTCTCCCCGGGAGTCACAGGAGTGGCGACAGCAGGGCCTGGAGTTAAGGGCGGCTCTGCATGGAAGCCTGGGCTCTGAGAACGGGACGCCCAGTGCTCCGCCCGAGCCTCAGCCCCGCCAGTCGGAGAGTTAAGTGAGATAATAGGTATGCAGGCTTCACCCAGGGCCCAGGCTCCCCGCAGCCTCAGCAGCAACCCTGGGCTCCAGCACACAAAGCCCTTAATTCACATGACCTATTATTATCGTTGCGACTATTTTCTGCTTTATGCCCATGCACCCCTTGGGCGATGGGCAGGGCGAGGATCACCAGCCCCCTCTTTCAGATGAAGAAACTGAGGCTGAGGGAAGAAGGGGCTCATCTGAGGCCTCAGTGCATTTGGTGACAGGGGGGCATCCAGCCCCAGCTC